TGCCATGGCTGCACAGGAGCTACGCTGGCCGGCCTACCTGCTGACCGACTTGGGGGAGCGGCCTCGCTCTCCTCCACTTCTGTACGTCGACAACAAGGCAATGCTTGCCTTATGTCGCGAGCTGAGACTGGAGCACAGAACGAAGCACATTTCTCTTCGCTACTTCCTTGCACGTCAGCTGCAACAGCATCGTCAGCTCCGCCTTTCCTATGTGGCCTCGCGGGCCAACACTGCTGATGTGTTCACCAAGGCCCTTGGGTCTGGTGATCATCAGCGTTTCTGCACTGCTCTTGGGCTTGTTCCCACTCTGCCTCACCTGCTGGTTGCTTGACTTGCTCTTGTTGTACATTGATATATATATTTATACCTACTTGTTTACTCTTGCTAGGTTGTGATCAGTGTACTGCCTTGCTATTATAACTCTGCATGTGAACTGGCCTTGTGGCCGCTTGCTTGTGCTCAGATTGGGTGGTGTCCTTGAGATCCACCCTGAGCTTTGCTTTGCTTTGTTCTCTTGCTTGACTGGTCTTGTGACCGTTTGTTGTGTTTGCTCTCTCCCACTTAGCCTATGGGGGTGTGTCAAACTGTATGTTTGTGTTCTCTCTAGGCTATAGTGGGTTAGCCTACAAGGGGTAGAATACTTCAGGGTTAGTACTTGTACCCAACTCATTCATAGTTCATTCATTCATGCACAGTTACTCCGACAGTCAAGTGTGGCCGAAAATGACCACGTCCTAAGGGTATGTTAGATCCTAAATCGGCCTAATCCGACTAGCAGCTTTTGGCGAAAGTAACACAGTTGCGAAAGCCACAAATATTTTCGATAAGCTCGTATAATCCGGCCACCTTTCGCAATTTTGATGGCCGTTTCAAAGAGTCTCATCAATCTAGCATATCGTCGACTCGAATTTGGCCATGATGCCGACTTGGCAAGGCAACAGTAATCTTGCGGCGTCTCATATTCACGCCAGCCACTTAATGTGTCATGCAGCTCGCATCATCCACTATTTGTCATCTCTACTTGTATCGGAATATGCGACACCATCGCAACAATCCAGCCAACATGCAAATTTGATAAAGCGGCCAGCAAATCGGCCACCATATGTGTCAGATTTGCAAACAGAGAATTTCCGGTCGTATTTTGTCAACAAAAAATCGACCACTAGGTCACGTTCGCGAAAAGAAGTTGGCGGCCAAATGATCGACAAATAACTGGCCAAAACATACTGCAAAGTATACGACACACCCTAATGTGAGTGTGAGGCAGGGCCCTAGATTGGTTTTGGAGTAGGCTGAAAAAACAGATTTCATATGCAAATCTATGCTGAAAATCTGCAAAATGTTACGTTTTTTTCCTGAAAAAAGCACTAGAAAATCACCAAGTTTTTTTAAGAAATGGTGGATAAATCAGCCTTGGTACATAAAAATGGCTAAAAAACAATGAATCAACCTAAAATGGGTTAAATCTAGGAGCATCGTGCAAGAGTACGCTTGAATATCGATTCTATTGTCAGATTTGAAACTTCACTTTCCAAGTCGACATTGGAACGTCAATTTTGTATTGCAAAAGGACTCTCACGGCGCGAAGCGGGTAACGAGAACGTTTTATGAACATCAGTTCAAAATAACCGCTCCCTAAAGAACAATATATACGTAAATATATGAATTTAGCCGACAATCATTTGGAGGTACCACGTGTTGAACACGTTATTCTTTTACCCTGGCGCACAGCACAGTCACTAGCATCACTCACCGTGGAGCATTCTGTGACAATCCAACAAGAGGGGTGAGGGGGGGGGGGGGAAGGAAAAATTGGGGCGAAAAGGGTTCTTGACGAGCCAAGAGGTGCAGAGATCTGGATGGTTGGAGGGGCTGTCTACTGCAAAGGAGATGTAGCATGATTCAGTTCTTATTTTTGACAGTTAGTTTGGAGCGTTGACATACCGTAGAAAGATTTTGAAGGCTATGAGGAACTAAGTGAGAGTGAATTGCAAATATTTGGATAAAAAAGAGAAGACACTGTTGTGTTGAATATACGCTCACAAGAGTGGTTCGAATGGCCTTGGCGGGGGCGTTGACCAGCTGGCTCCAAGGGGCAATTTGGCCAACATGAGATGGGTACAGAAACAAGATGTGTTTATTCAGAGGGGAGCAGCGCAGGTGGTGACATGCAATCAAGCCCAGCGACTCGATCACTAGGGCTTCGTTTTGGATTTGGCCTACTCACGATTGGCAGGGTAGTTTTTTCAAAAACCCTTATGGGCAGTGTGTACTTTTCCGTTACACTGATAGAGCAGTGTAACATCAGGTTTTGAAATTTGTACCCTGCATCATCAGTGTGGTTTTTTTTCGAACACTGACAGATGTTCGCAAAGTCTTGTGGTTAGACCTAGTGCAGGCAGCAATACTGTAGTTGCTGCCAATGTTCGGTTTCGTGGCGTGCTGGCAAGGGAATAATTCCTAACAGAACAATCGGAAACATGACTGTGGCCAACGCACGTAGTGCATGGAAGGAATCCTCGGCACATGCGTGATGAACGGAAATCAAGATCTGACAAATTTCGAGGAAAGGGGGGCGTACGCTCTTTAGTGTAATCTTCGCTAAGGAAAATTTTACCCCAAGACATCAGTGTGTCCTGCGTTGATACACTTACAGATTTTACCCCCAGCACATCAGTGTAGACCCAAAATTTCACCCTTGTAACCAGTATAGAAGGGTAAATTACATTGATAACCTGAGCCCTGGCGATCACCTCCGAGGCCGCCCCGGGCTGGCAAGAAATATGTGCGATATTGTCTCCATCTCGTCGGAAGGGCGCGACGAAGCATCGGCCGTATATGTTGCGAATAACCGGGAATCCGAAAGGAGCGAACGAGTGTTTAGTCAGAAGACGAGAAATCGTGCATGAGGTCGGAGGAAAGCATGAGAGGGATCAAGGAGTGGAGCGGCAAGTGAGAGGAAAGGGCATGGGTCCAACGGGAATCGTGGTCAAGCGGGCGTTATGCATAGAGTAGTTGGCAAGCAACAGAGAAGCCTGGGACACCATTGCGAAGAATCTCTAAACGATGATGCCAAAAAACATTTCTTGGGAAAAAGTATTTTGCTAGTCAAGCATGATACCCTAACATGTATAATAGAAAAAGTGCTACTTGCACTTCAATAAGGTCGGATAGCACTTCGACGTTACAAGGCCAAATACAGGTCTACATGCGTCAATGCTGCTCCAGGTGATTCTTCAGATAATACCTGATTGCTCCCCAGTAGACTCCCCCTCCTCCATGCTCTTAATAGCTTCCAACATTGCAGCCAAGTTATTGGGATACAACGTCCCACTTCGCATTCCCTCTGCTTGCTCATCCACCTTGACCGCCGCACTCAGCACCTCCTTCCCCACCACCTCGTGCCTGATTCCCTGCAGCTCGTTGGCAATGGTGGCCATGCTGGGCCGGCTTGCAGTGCGCTGCACAGTGCAGCGCAGAGCCAGCTGGGCCAGGCGCAGCACAGCATCATCTGGGGCGTCCATGTCCAAGTCCTTGAGGAGGGCCAGGTTGTTGGAGGAAACGCAATCCTCCACCTGACAGGTTGAACAAGGGGGTCGGGTCAGAAACAGGGAATGGTGCAGCACAGCATCATCAAGGGCGTCCATGCTGAGGTCCGGGCAGATTGAGTTGAGCAACAAGAGGCGGGCCGGGCTGTCAGAGAAAATGCAATATTCCACCTGACGGGTTGAACAAGGTGGGTGGGGATGGGAGCAGGGACAGGGGATGGCGCAGCACAGCAGCATCAGGGGCGTCTGTGCTCAGGTCCTTGAGGAGGGTTGGGATATTGGAGGAAACGCAATCCACCACCTGACAGGAGGGTGTCTGACAAGAGGGTAGCTGAGGCATGCCTGCACCTGACTGATTGAGCAAGGTGGGCAGGGATAAGGACATTTAGGCGCTGTTGTACCAACGTGTCATTGTGCCATCATGCCTTCCTGCCATCATGTCATACTCACCGTGCCATCATGTTCTCGTGCCACCAACTTGCTTGCCTGAAAGCAGCAAGTGCTATGCTTCGCAGGGACTATTTGAGTATTTTACACAACAACCCTGTTGTTGCATACTCACCACCAAGCAGAAACACCTACCTATTGCAGGTTGTGGTTGTGCAAGCTAACGACAAAGCCAACTTGAAAGTCACTACGTGTGCCGCACATGAAGCAGCAATGCGGAGATCGTGGCTGTTTGCGCCACCAACTTAGGCAGAGTGCTGCTTGAACCAACCGCACATGCCACAGTGCCATCTCACATCTTTAACACAGCATACCCCAGTGCACCGCACACAAAGCAGCAGCACCTACCCATCGCAGAATGTGGCCATTCTTTTCACCCTCTGAAGAGCGTGGGCTGCGACCGGTGATCACCACAAGCATGAGCACACCGAAGCTGCACACACAAAGAAGGGAGAGGGTGGCAAGCAGCTCACAAGGATTTGCCACATTGTGAGTGGTTCACCAGCCTTGTATGATGACATAATCCACAAGCATTAGCAAAGCAAAGCAAGCACCTAGTGAGCACAATGAGCACAAGCATGAACAAACTGTCACGCATTGACTTATTATTATTTGTTACGCACATAGTAGCTGCCTCGCATAGAGAGGTTTGTTTAACAGTTGAAAAAACCTTTGCCTGCTCATAGTCCTATTTCACCTGAAGACAACAGTTCCTCACCTGTACACATCGGTGGCAGTGGTGGCCTTGGACGTGCGTGAGTAGATGGGATCCACATAGCCCGGTGTTCCCATCACCCGAGTTGTGCCGACAGTGGTCCCCTCTCCCACCCTCAACAGCCCAAAGTCACCGATCTTGGCCTGATGAATGATGTAATAGTTGAATCAGGGAATTTCATGTCAGAAAATAAACGGAACAATGCCTTGTAATTTTTATTTTGTTGAATTGAAATGTACGTTATGCTGAGTTGCATGTATTGTACTGAAGTTAGCGATGACACTTTTCACATGACAAGGTACATTAGAGTTGCTAGTATGATCTGTTAAAATCCTATGTTCTAGCATGCTAACGCTTGTGACTGTACACCAATTGTGGTGTACAGTTGGGTTGGGACTACACCCAACTTTGGGTGTAGTCTTGCATTGTGGGGTGCCAATCCAACCCAATTGTGGTGGAGCCCCCAAATGCAACCCACTTGGCCTCAGGTTGCCTCACTTCCCAAAAGTGAGGCCAACCCAACCCAAGTGGGCCTGAGGTTGCCTCACTTCCCACAAAGTGTGGTCAACCCAACCCTTCTTCTCCAACCCTTTCATCCAACCTATGTATGCTTGTTTCTTCTCTAATATAATCACTCATTCTTTCTCAATCCTCACATGGTATAGAGCTAAGCCCTTCCTAAGGCAACCTCCCCCCCTCCAGCTTTTTTTTCCCAAGGGCCCATCATTCGCTTCCTTTACGACAACCCTTCCGTCGCCCTCGTCCCCCTCCCCCCTTCCCCATCTCGGCGCTTTCCCGCCGCGGCCTCTCAGCCGCCGCCCGTGCCCTTCCGCCACGGCCTCCCTTCCTCCCTCTCCCTCCATTTCCCTCGCCGCGATTCCGCCGCGGCCTTCACCGCCGTGTCCCGCGGATTTCGCCGCCCGCGCCTTCCCGCCCGCGGCTTTCACCGCCGCGACCGCTGCGTCGCCGCCCTCTGCTCCTGCCGCCGCGACCCTTCCGTCGCCGCCTGCCCTCCCAGCCGCCGCGACTCGTTTTCCCGTCGTCGCCGGCCCTTCCGCCGCCGCGACCTTTTCGTCGCCGGCTGCCCGTCCCGCCGCTGCGACCTCACATCGCCGCCTGCACCTTCCCTCGCCGCGGCTAAGTTCTCGCCGCCTGCGGTGCCCGCCGCCGCGACTGCACGTCGCCGCCTGCACGTCCACCCCCCGCGACTGCCCCGTCGTCGCCTGCACGTACCGCCGCCGCGACTGCACCGCCATTTCCGCCGCAATTTCCGTCGCCGCGACTGCACCGTCGCCGCCTCCTATTCCCGCCGCCGCGACTGCGCTTCACTGCCTGCGCATCCCTCCACCGCGACTCCCCCCCCCCCCCCTCCCCCCTTCCTGCCGTCTTCGCGCCGTCACCGCCCGCCGTTTCCGCCGCCGTGACCACATCGTCGCCGCCTGCTCACCCCGTCCCCGCGACCCTGTCGCCCCCCCCCCCCCCCCCCCCCCCCCCCTCCCCCCTGCGCATTCCGCCGCCACTCCACCCTTCCCCCCCCCCCTCCCCCCGCTCTCTCCCCACCATTTCAGCCGCCACAGCAGCAACAGCAGCGGCAGCAGCGGAGCCGTACCAGCCGCGGCCGCATCAGCAGCAGCTGCACCAACGACTGCATCCTCCTTCCCCCCCCCCCTTTTTTTTTCTTCCCCTCTCCCTCCTCTCCCTCTCCCCTCTCCTCTCAGCAGCGACAGCAGCGGCAGCCGCACCCGTGACTGCATCCTCCTTCCCCTCCCTCCTCTCCCCCTCTCCCTCTTCCTCCCCCCTCTCCTTGCAGCAGCGGCAGCAGCGGCAGCAGCGGCAGCAGCGACAGCAGCAGCAGCAGCGGCAGCAGAGGCGGCAGCGGCATCAATGGCAGCAGCGGCGGCAGCGGTGGCAGCGACATCAGCGGCAGCAGTGGCAGCAGCGGCAGCCGCACCCGTGTCTGCATCCTCCTTCCCCTCCCCCTCTCCCCCTCTCCCTCCTCCTCTCCCTCTCCCCTCTCCTTGCAGCAGCGGCAGCAGCAGCAGCGGCGGCAGCAGCGGCAGCAGCAGCAGCAGCAGCGGCAGCAGCGGCAGCAGCGGCATCAACGGCAGCAGCGGCAGCAGCGGCATCAACGGCAGCAGCGGCAGCAGCGGCAGCAGCAACATCAGCGGCAGCAGCGGCAGCAGCAGCAGCAGCAACAGCCGGAGGGGTCCAGCAGCAGCAACAGCCGGCGAAGTGCCCCAGCTCCACCAGCAGCGCCTCCCCCTTCCCCTGGCCGCCGCGGGTCCACCCGCCGTCGCCTCCCCCTTGACCGCCGCGGGTCCACCCGCCGTCGTCTCCTCCTCGGTCGCCGCGGGTCCACCCGCCGCCGCCCATCATGGCCTCCACCCCTCCTGTTCCTCTCCCCCCTCCCATCGACGCCTCCTCGGTCGACAAGCTGCAGCTTGCTGCAGATCGCTCCGCCATCAACTGGCACTCGTTCGTCGGCAGCATTCGCCACATCCTTCAAGACGCCTTCATCGGACCCTACTGCGTCCTTGACGTTCTCCTTCGCCGTCCGCAGGCTCTCCAGCCGACTGCACCCAATCACCCTGGCGAACCTCCCCCTCTCCCTTCCCGTCCTGGCCCCCCTCCTCCTGAGCCTACCCTGGGCGTGGCCACTGCGGAGAATCACTCTACAACGGTGGTGAGCTAGACTACCGGCTTGGCACGAACTACTAGGAGTGAATCGTAGCTTTGCCTAGTTCCTTAGTGCTTGCACAATCACGGGAGAAATCGGCAAGAGTTTCCACTAGCATAGTTGGGATTATAGAATTGTTAGACAAGCAAAGACAAGAATGACTACATCAGGCACCTAGCAACTCTGCAGCTAGCCTGGTCGACACACAGCACAGCATGGTCGACCGCCTGCCAGCGTTGCTTAGAGGAGCCGCGCCAGCACTGCAGAAAGGTGACCTGCCAACACAGCAGGTCGACGGTGTGCCAACGCTGCAGCAGAGCGACTGTCCAGCGTTGCCCCGTAGAAGACAGCAGTGCGCACGCTCGCAGATGCGCGCAGACGATTGGCCTGACTTGCACCGTTGTGCATTCGTCGGCTGTTGTCTGCGCCTGACGAGCCATATCGACTTCGGGATACCAACCTAAAGTCGCCTTCGCCATCGCGACCTCGACGTTTGCGTGCCTCCGCAGAACTCGCCGAGCAGGTTACCCGGTCGACCAGGACAACTCCAAGTGCCTCTGGTCGACCACGGCTCCCGTCGAGCTACCCCTTGGTAGACGGACCCCTTCCGTCGACGAGCTCCCCTCGTCGTCCGCTGCTCACTTTCAGGTCGACGGACTGCTCCGTCGACCTCCCGGTCGAACAGCCCCTCCTGGTCGACGGCCCACCCGTCGCCCAGACCAGTCATTTGCAGCTGTCGAGCTCCCAGGTCGACAGCAACACCACAGCGGTCCCCTGCAGCTCGACGAAGCCTGTCGAGCAGCTCTCCCACTGCGGATGGTCAGCTGCTACTCCCATACATCCGACCAAGTCGTCGGCGTTGCCCAAGCGAGGGCGGGGCAAACACTTCACTCCCGTTAACAGCCACTACCCTTGAGCTTCAGGCTGTTGCAGACGCCACCTTCCTCCACAACCGCCGCGAATACCTCATCCGCAAAGCCGACCATGACGTTGCTGTGCTCAACCACGACTTTGCATCGTCAGAGCGTGCCACTCGCCTGGAGTTGATTGCGGAGTACAACACCTCTATGGCGACTTACATCCCCAACAGCATCGCCTGGGCCGCTGCCGACAACCGCGCCTACACCATTCTCCTCGGTGCACTCCCTGACGCCCTTATGCGCCGCTTCCAAGCTCGCGAGATGCGCGCTCACCTGATTTGGACCGAGCTCCTGTCTATGTTCGAGCGTCGCGACATCAGCTCCGTCAGCGTTCTGTTCCAAGAGTACTTTTCCATTACCCTTGCCACCTGCGACGGCGCAGTCGACTACGTGGGGCGCATGCTGGGGGTAGCCGATCACCTTGCCGCTCGCCAGGCTGCCCTTTTCGAGCCCCTGCAGATCCACCGTCTGCTCTTCAACCTCACGCCGGACTACGAGTCCCACCTTCACGCCTTCACCGAGGCAAACCCCCTGGCTGGCCTCCCCGAAGTGACTAAGCGGATCATTGACACGGAGGTCAAGCTCCGCACCCCCATTGTCAACCTCACCACCACTCATTCCTCCTCCACCTCCCTCAATGCCACGCAGCCGCGCAACCTGGGTGGTCGCAACGACGGCGGAGGGGGTCGTGGAGGGGGCGGAGGGGGTCGTGGAGGGGGCGGAGGTGGCAGTCGGGGTAGTGGCGGAGGTGGCAGTCGGGGTAGTGGCGGTGGTGGCCGTGGTGGCCGTGGTGGTGGTGGTGGTCCTGGTGGCCCCACTCCCGGAGGTTCCTCTAGTGCCGGAGGAGCTGTGAGCCGTGGTGGTGGTCGCCCTGGGACTCCCCCCCTGCACGTATGTTCGCCGTCATGGACCCCACGCGGCACGCCGTGTGGTCAGACCAACCAGCCCCTGCCACCTGCTTCAAGGCGCTCGATGACGCCCGGTTTGACCGTGGCAACACTGGTACCCCTCCTCGCTAGAACAGTGTTACCCCTCGCCCCTCCCTCGTGGACATTCAGACCCTCCCCTCCTTCCTCCCCGCTCACCTCCGCCTTCTCATCCCCCCCCCCCCTTCCTAGCTGCAGCAGTTTCAGCAGCATCAGCAACAGCAGCAGCAGTACTTCCCCCAGCAGCAGCAGCCGCAGTTTCTCCAGCCGCAGCAGCCGCAGCAGCCACCACAGCAGCAGTTCTTCCAGCAGCAGCAGCCGCCGCAGTACCTTCAGCCGCAGTGGCAGCAGCAGCCGATGACCTTCGGCGCAACGGCCATGGCCGCTCATGCCTCCCTTGCTCCCCCCCCCGGGGTTCCATTCCTTCTGCCCCCCCAAGTGTCCTTGACTCTCAAGGCAGTTTCCTTGGTCATGTTGCTGCTGCACCATCCGTCTCTTCCATGTATCCCTCTGCTATCAATGAGACGTCATTCCAGTACCCCGTGTCACCTCCCCTTCTTTCCGCCCCCACCTTGGACTTTGTCCTTGACAGTGGGGCCACAGAAACCGCACTCAAAGACGCTGGCACCCTCACCCCCCTCCCACTTCCAACCTAGGTTCATGGTGCTGACTCCAGCTTCTCCATCCCATGCACTCACCTCTCCACCCTCCCTTGCACTGCTTTCCCCTCCGGTAGGGTCACAGGTCTCCACATCCCAACCCTTCGCAACAACCTCCTCTCTCACCGAGAGCTCCAAGGTGTCGGTATTACCGCCATTTACCGTGGTTTTGCTAATTACTGTGATCTCTACCAAACCTCCTCTGGCCGCTTCCTTCTGCGCATTCCCCTTTGCCCTCGCACTCGCCTTTACACGCTCCGCACACCCCGTCCCTCTTTCTGTCATATTACCACTCGTGCTGGTACTTCCACCGGTCCTCCTCCCCCTCTCCCTCCCCCTCAGGTATCCCCCTCCCCTACTTCACCCCCCTCCTCCTCCCTCCCCACCTCTTCTCCCACCCCATTCCCCTCCTCCACTACTGCTCGCTCCCACCCAGCAGTCATTTTGCATCACAGACTCGGCCATCCCAACTTCGCCGCACTTCGCACCACTATCACCTCTCGCCTCCTTCACAGCCTCTCTCCCACCTTACCTCCCCTCCCCTCCTCTCCTGCTCCCCCATGCCCCTCGTGCATTCATGGAAAGCTCAAGCAGTCCCCCCATCACAGCCATCCCACCTTTACTGCCGCCCCCATTGACCTTGTCCACATGGATCTCTGGGGTCCCTATCCCATCCGCTCCCGTCAGGGGCACCGGTACATGCTCGTCCTCGTCGACGACCACAGTTGGTACTCCACTGTCTTTTTCCTTCACACCAAGGACCAGGTGCCGGCTGTGGTCATCAACTGGGCTGAGCAGTGCTGCACTCACTTCAAACGCCCCATTGGCCGCCTTCACTCTGACGGTGGGGGCGAGTTCATCAACAACACCCTCGCCACCTTCTGTAGAACTCATGGAATTCAGCAAAACTCCACCCTTCCCCACTCCCCTCAACAAAATGGCATCGCTGAGAGACGCATCCGTGAAATCACCAAAATTTCCCGTTGCCTCATTGCTCACGCCTCCACCCCTCCTTCCCTTTGGAGCTATGCCCTCCTCCATGCCGCCCTCCTCCTTAATCTCCGCTCCCACCCTCAGCATCCCTCCTCCTCCCCCACAAAACTCTGGTCTAAGGCCAAGCCTGACGCTGCCGGCCTTCGCGTTTGGGGCTGCAAGTCCTTCGTCCTCATCCCACCGGCCGATCGCTCCCGTGCCGCTGGCAAGCTCGCCCCCCGTGCCCTGGAGTGCGTCTACCTCGGGCACAATCGCGAATCCCCAGGCTACCAGTTCCTCCACCCTCCCACCAACCGCGTCATCCCAACATTGACGTCGTCTTCGATGAGTCCATCCCTTACTACTCCACTCCTCCAGACCCTCTCCCTCCTCCCTCTCGCCCCCTCGCGTGGACCGGCACTGTCCTCCCACCTCTCCTCCCTCCCACTCCTCTTCTCCCCCCCGTTGTCGCTCCACTCCCTCCGTCCTCCTCTGCTGACGTCTATGACCCCACCGCACCCGCCTCCCTGGCCCACTCAGCTGCGCCCCCTCCCCCCTCTCCCTCCTCTCACTCTCCCCCTTCTCTGCAACGGCCGGGCCAGCAGCAGCAGCAGCAGCAGCCGGGTCCTCAGCAGCGGCAGCGGCAGCAGCAGCAGCAGCAGCAGCAGCAGCAGCCGGTTCCGCAGCAGGGGCAGCAGCAGCAGCAGCAGCAGCAGCGGCAGCCGAGTCAGCAGCCGGGGCAGCAGCAGCAGCAGCAGCAGTCGGGTCAGCAGCAGCAGCAGCAGCCGACTCAGCAGTAGGGGCAGCAGCAGCAGCAGCAGCAGGGGCAGCAGCAGCAGCAGCAGCAGCAGCAGCAGGCGCAGCAGCAGCACCGAGCAACTTCCCGCTTCTCCCCTTTCCTCCTCCCTCGCATGCACACTCGCTCCCTGGACAAGCTCATTGGAGCCCCCCCTCCCGCCTCCATTCAGCTCCTTGAGGACTCCCATGAGGAGTTCCTCCACATTCGGCACCACACTCCTTACCTTGCCTCCATCTTCCTTGACTTCCTAGGCTTTCCCATCCTTGGCGCCACCTCCACCCCCACCATCTTCACTCCCTCCACCTTTCAAGAAGCCATCACCTGCCCTGATGCGGACAAGTGGATAGCGACAATCTTCCTGGAGTGTGAGGCATTTATTCGTAACGACTCCTTCGTTGATGTCCCCCTCTCGGCCAACGCCAACCTTGTCGCGGGCAAGTGGGTCTTTCGGGTGAAGCAGCTGCCGGGCGAGGATCCAGTCTACAAGGCCCTCTACTGCGCTAAGGGTTTCACCCAGACTTGGCCTGAGGATTACCGGCTCACCTTCGCCCCCACCGCCAAGCCGCCCACCCTCCGCACCCTCCTCGACGTTGGTGCGCGCAACGACATGGAGATCTGCTCCATGGACGTCTCCAACGCTTTCCTGCAAGGGGACCTGCATGAGCGTATCTTCCTCCGGCGCGCCCGCGGGTTCCACGCCGCCTTTCCAGAGAACACTATGTGGCGGCTGCGTCGGCCTGTCTACGGCTTGAAGCAGGCGCCAAGGGAGTGGCACGTGAAGCTGTCTGCCACCGTGGGGTCCCTCGGTTTCTCTGCCTCGCATTCTGACGCCAGTCTCATCCTTCGCTCCTCCCCTCGCCGCTTCTTCATTCTGGTGTATGTGGATAACATGATCCCGCTCGCTGACTCCAAGGCTGACATGGAGCAGATGAAGCTGCAGCTGCAGCAGCGCCTCAAGTGCAAGGACCTGGGCGACCTCACACACTACCTGGGCGTGGCTATCACTCGCGACCGTCCTGCTCGCACCATCACCCTCTCCCAGTCCCATTACATCGGCCAGATCTTGGAGAATTTCGAGATGGCGCAGGCCAGTCCCATGGCCAACCCCCTCCCTTTTGGCCACCAGCTTGCCCCACCCACTTCTCCCTCCTCCACTCGCCCTTATGCTGAGCTCGTTGGGTCGCTGATGTACAGTATGATGTGCACCCGTCACGAGCTTGCCTACCCCATCAGCGTGCTCGCTCGCTTTGTTGGCACTGGTCGCCACACAGAGGTGCACTGGAAAGCTGCTAAACGGGTCCTTCGCTACCTTCGCGGCATCAAGGACCACGCCCTCACTCTTGGTGGCTCCTCCCCTCCCGTACTTTCGGGCTTTAGCGACTCCTCTTGGGCCGACACGCAGCCGGACCGTCGCTCCTCTCAGGGCTAGGGCTTCACCCTCGGCAGCGGCCTTGTTATCTGGTGCTCCGCACGCTCCTCCTCCGTTTCCTTCTCCACCTGCGAGGCCGAGCCCTACGCTGGCACCATGGCCGCCCAGGAATCTCGCTGGCTCTGCTTTCTTCTTGCTGAGCTTGGCGCCCCTCAGCCCTGCCCCACCCTCTGGTGTGACAATGCCAGCACCATCCACCTCACTCAGGACCCTGTCTACCACGCCCGCTCCAAGCACATCGAACTGCGCCATTTCTTCATCCGCGAGCTCGTCTAGCGCGGTCTTCTTGCTGTCCGCAAGATTGCTGCCGAGGCCAACTTGGCCAACATCTTCACCAAGGCCCTCCTTCGCCCTGTGCACTCTGCTCTCCTCCGCCTCATCGGCCTGGCTCGCCCAGGGGCCCCTTGATTCAGGGGTTGCTCCCTTCCTGTGTTCACATGCTAAGGGGTTGTGTTAGAATCCTATGTTCTAGCATGCTAACACTTGTGGCTGTACACTAATTGTGGTGTAAAGTTGGGTTGGGACTACACCCAACTTTGGGTGTAGTCTTGCATTGTGGGGTGCCAATCCAACCCAATTGTGGTGGAGCCCCCAAATGCAACCCACTTGGCCTCAGGTTTCCTCACTTCCCAAAAGTGAGGCCAACCCAACCCAAGTGGGCCTGAGGTTGCCTCACTTCCCACAAAGTGCGGTCAACCCAACCCTTCTTCTCCAACCCTTTCATCCAACCTATGTATGCTTGTTTCTTGTCTAATCTAATCACTCATTCTTTCTCAATCTTCACACGATCAACAGAGAAGGCGAACAGGTGGAGAGGCTTGAGGGATATGGTTGTTCTGACACGTAAAAAGAAAAAAACACGCCCTTTAAGCATACGGTGGTGACGGCTGTGCTTATGAAAAGAATCCAGTCGGTGCAAAGAACTAACTACTCCCTTCAACTCTTGTTCTTATGAAAATCTACACTTGCCTTCACATTTCAAATAAGTTCCTCGAATCAATTATTGAGGTATAATCAATATAAGATCGACTTCTCATTGCACTCGACACACCATCCACTCTGTGTGTACTCTTAGGGTGTTTGCAAAGCGCTTGCTTGCCTGCATGTTTGCTTAAAAATGATGCTGGTGCATGTGATGTCTTGAGTCGACTGATAAACACACTTGTCTAGGTTTCATGTATAGTGTGCTTGAATAACACTATAGGTTGCTTGCGTGGTTTTTTTCCCTGCGTTGAATGTTGGCGGTATGCGTGAGCGCGCACACACACACACACACACACACACACACACACACACACAACACACACACACACACACACACACACACACACACATACACAACACACACACACACACACACACACACACACACACACACACACACACACACACACACACACAGATATATATATATACATATATACGTTTTATGTTCGGGTCGAACACATTCAGGCGTGCTCGCGTTCATGCTGCTCGGCGAGGACAGTGGGAGGCGCGCCTACTTGCGCAGTCAGATGCACTTCGAGTATGCTTGCTAGCCAACGACGTGTGAGTGAGGCGGTGACATGCTCATATGTTAGACTCAGAGACCCCCCACATATGTTGACAAGCTCACACTTTTGCATGAATGTCTAACATTCTAACCACAGATGCCTGCCCAATGTGGTCAAGCTGGCCATGCAATCGGCAATTCGATCGAGAGCGTGCGCGAGGTTCTGCGTCTCGTGCGCAAGATGGCGTCGTGGGTGGGCTATTCGCCCCAGCGTGGAGCTTTGTTCTTGGGGATGCAGGAATTGTCGAAGACCAAAATCCCGCCTCTGAAGCTGGTGCAGGGGAACCCAGTTCGGTGGAGCTCGACGCACGACATGGTCGAGGATGAGTCGGTTCTTCCGAGGGCAGTTTTGAGGCGCCTCAAAAATAGCCTCAGAACAACTCAGTTTGGTGCGGCTTGACGTACGACATGGTCGAGCATGTGTTGGTTCTTCGGAGGGCGATCGCACTTTACTCTGCAGAGGACCAGGTGCGTCATGAAGGTTGCCTGTGTGAGGTGAGGTAGGATTCCCACCTAAACCCTGTTTTCCAAACCTTAGACCACTTTGTTGCCGAACAAGTTCGCAACCACGATCCACAATGCGAAACATTGTTTCCAATGAAACAAGTTCATCACTTCTCATTCTCCCAGCCTATCACCATAGCTCGATGTGGGCGGAAAAGGAGAAGCTCGCCTTCACGCGCTTTGAGCCTTCCATTGGGACACCTGGGAGGCATTAAACCGGTTCCCCAGCCCCTTCAACAAGGTCCCCAAGGCCGCTAAAGGGGTCGGCGCATCCCACGGTGTTGATGGTGGCGCCGTTCTAGAACAGCCTTATCGACAGCTTGGAGGCGCTCCTCCACAAGAGACCATCGGAGAGGCTCCGTCTGGTGCTCATCACAACACTCGCCCACCTCAAGAAGTAATACTGTGCCAGTAGCAGCAAGTACTGAATTGCCACCTTCTTGGATCCACATGAGAGCGACGTATTCCGACACGAACCACTGGGAGAGGTTGCATCCGGGGACGGCGGGGGGGGGGGGGGGGGGGGGGGGGTGAGGCCGCGTGTCACTTCCACGGGGGTGATTTGGCCGCAGCTGCACGGCTGGCTCCCCAGCCGACGCCACTAGCATCAGTTTCATCCTAGCCGCGGGCGACTGATGGCTCGCATGTCAGCGAGTCAGGCAGCGGGAGGGGGTGGGATGGTTCAGGATGATGAGGTCGCTAGGTAATTGGCTAGGCAGAGCAGATGCGGTCGAGCGTGAGAGCGTTATGGTACTACTGGTGCCATGCTCACAACATGATGACACTGTGGCAGATGGTGAAGGGTTATCTTCTTATCCCAGCCACGGTTGCTGCTAGGGAGCATGTGTTCTCCATGGGCCGCAACCTCAACTCGTAGAAGCAGCACTGACTGAAGATTGGCAAGGCTCGCAGAGCGAGAGGAGCACCATCACCGAATGTCACACTCGAGGGAGAGGGTTGGAGGCGGAGGATGAGGTGGAGGGGGCGGATGCTTTATTGGATGGGGGAGTAGCTGGTGGCAGTTCCGCCGTGCTGTAGCATTTTTGTGCTTACATGACATTCCATATATGTACCGTGCGTTGAGAATCATATGCGGATTCCTATCTCACCCTAACTCCTTGTGTACCTTGCTGTTTCGCGATGCTCATTGGAAAGCCCCCTGTGCGGCAAATTACTCTGCTTATGAGGGCGGATTCATTGCTTTTGAGTCAGGAATCGGTAATTTTTCTATTTGGCTGGCATCTTAATAGGCTGGCTACACTCCCAAACGCCCCCATGTATGACCACTCCACTCGGAACTCACCTTCCGGAATGATATGACTATAACAACTGCTGCTGTTTTTCCAAACAGGAAAATTCTCGCCCCAAACTTGTTCGTGCCCGGCGGGAACAATAGGTGTTTGCCTTTCTAGGCAAACACCCAAACAAGTCCTTTCCAGAAAGTGTTCGGGCGAACACAAACATGTCCAGTCCGGTTTGAGTCGGCACGTTCGAACAGACCATGTTTGTGTTCGTC